ATATATATATATATATATATATATATATATATATATATATATATATATATATACATACAAAAATACACACAACTGTATGATAATTCAATTCGCACAGGACAAGACTTTTTGGCATTTCTATATTTAAATGTTTTGCAGAAAGTGAGAATATCACTTTCCCCATAATGTATACCTAGATTTCAAAGTCAGAAGTGCTGATGTTACACCATAGTCGTATATTCTTCTTAAAAATATATCCTCTTGATCTCTGTTATATTGGTTATTTTAAACCAACTGCTATTTGCCTTCATGCTGACCATAGAAAACAGTTTTTGATCATTGATATCCTGCTAGTTTTCATTATTGGTAATGAAAAGTGTTCAAATGGTTAAAGTTTTAAGGGTAGAGATGTTGTTGTTGTTATAGGGTTTATCGCTATTTTTCAGCACAAGATAGGCTATACATGACGGCCAGTATTATTGGGTGAGGAAGAACTCTGGTAAACCCCAGGAATAACCATTGACCCACTAGAAGCTACTGGCAGGCTTTCTAACTTAGGGTGCGCTCTACAGTTTCGTATTTAGCATAGGGTTAAAATTTTAAAGAAAAATAGTTTCCCCGGGTTTCCTCACTAGTTATACTGTTTTTTTTTAAAAGAGACTTTGTATATCTTAGGTATTGTTCAATGATTCTTTCATTGCCTTTATTTTGATGTGTGATTAATGGGTGTAATATGGGTTAGAGAGTACACAGCTTGGTCTTACTGCAGATGTGCACCTTTCAAAAATGTGCTAGCTCTACTTGCTCATTTTCACTTCTCGAACTTCAGAGGTAAATTGTAAAAAGAAGAGCCGATAACTTTTTTACATTTTATGTATTTGGTAATTCAGTCATTGCACTTTTAGAAGCTGGTTATTATCTGGTTTGGCAAAATTCATTTTCCATATTTTAGTAGCTGCCAAGAATAGTGTACTTTAGACAAATTTTGGTTGATTTTTGGAGCACAAGGTAGCAGTCATTTTAGTTCGCAGTGTCCTAAGCTCATTTAAAATTTCCAAAAGTACAATATTCAAAGAACTTTCATCCACATTACATGAAAGTAGTATATATTATGCCAACATTCTCTCCACTGTGCATGTTTAAAATGCAAACAACTTCACCTTACATACATCACTCTCTCAAAAGTACATAATAACTGGTGAGCGCCACCTTATCTCGAACTCACGCAGACAGAGGGGAGATGGCAGTGATCCGTAACGGACAACACTTTAGACCACTGGGCCATTCGAGGCCCCAGGGAAGAGATGCAATTAAAGATACTGTGTTAATAAAGAATATGTGATGAACTATATAAATAAGTCGTCTTGCACGATATAAAATACACTTTTTTGTTCGCATTTAAGTCGTCTTGCACGATATAAAATATATTTTCTCGTTGGCATTTAAGTCGTCTTGCACGATATAAAATATACTTTCTCGTTGGCGTTTAGCCATCAAACTTTAATATCCTGCAAACTGAATCGGCAACAAAAGATTTTGCCGAAAGCTTCTTCCGGTAATCAAAATAAATTGAAGCATAGAAATTGAATTCGTTTGTAATCATTATACAAACTGATGGAATAATAGGAGAATAATAGTTCGAAACAGAACATCCTTTAGTAAATTTATAAATCCCTTTCGGCAGCAAAAATAATTTTTAAATTGTGTTTGTAAATACAAAGCCACTTACAGCCATGCCGTACAAAAGCTATTTCGTGTTAATATGGTTAACAAACAATGGGCAAAGCTTCTTGAGACGAAAAGCATAAAACCAGTCGGATCTAATGATAATCTCGCCTCTCTCGAAATTTGACTAATATGAACAATTTCTATTTGAACTAGCTAATGAAAATTAACATCGGATTTTCTAATGCATGATAGAGGAACGATGGCAAATGTAAGCAGAAATTAAATATAGCTTTATTCTAAAACTGTGCAATAAGGAAATCGGCGTTTCAAAAAATATAAACTTTTGCTGAAAGTAGTGCATTCATTTTCTTAGTTTAAAAAAAGCTTTTTATTGGAACTGTTAAAAAGATTGGTCATGACAATATTGCTATGTACCCATAATTTTTTATTTTTTTTAAATGTATGCCCTGGAACGATGGCATTATGTTTACTGAAAAAGAAAAAAAAAAGTTTACTGATTTAAAATGAAGGCGTTATAAGTATCTGGCTTTTCGATCCCAAAGTTGATATAGATATATAAAATTTAGGGTTTAGCTTGTTATATCTATTTTATTATAACAAAGAAATATCTTACATATATGGTGAAAATAGCCTGACATTATGTGTAGGGATATTATTATTATTATTATTATTATTATTATTATTATTATTATTATTATTATTATTATTATTATTAGCATGCACTTCTGCGTTTTCGCCCACTTGATCAATAGGAGGGAGCCTCTCCCACCAATTTGTTATTAAAGAGCGTACCAGATCACTCACGTGTTATTTACCTATCTAGTTACTTTCGTTATTCACTCCTTCCTTCATCTGTTTGCGTACTTATTTCACTATTTAATTATGCTTACTAACATCCTGACTTTAGGTGAGCAGCAAGTTGGGGAGTCACCCACCTAATTCTATGGGGCCCATCATTTTGTTACTTTTAGTAACCATTTTTATAGTGCCGTCCTTGCCAAGGCAATGGTTTGATTTGTGAATACCCAAAACCAAGGAGAAAGATTAGCATGCGGATTTATTAATAATTTGTTTCATCTCCTTTCTGTTTGGCGGGTCTTTTTATGGCATTACTACTTATAGGAATTCGGACGTGTGCAATAACTGAACATGTGTGTGTCTGTGTGCCTGTGTGTGATTTGGATTTTTAACATAGCTTTAACAATTTTTTTTCAGTCATATCGCTATGATGTCAGTGTGTTAGTTTATAGTGATGTCTAGCACTGGGGCATCATGCCGCAGACATGTAGCATGATGTCCAACCCAGTCACATTATCCTGGCACCAGGCTGACCAGTCATAACACTAACCTCTTAATGCTGAGCGTCAAGCGAGGCAGTTGTTAGTACCATTTTTATAAGTCTTTGTTATGATTCAGCAGGAGATCAAACCCTCTACCTTTGCATCCGAGGCGGAAGCTCTAGACAACCGCAGCGGTTAAATTGAATATGTAAAAATACAATTAAGTGGATGCCTTAATCACCACGCCAACAATGGGAAGGATGTCGAACAACGGCCACTAGAGGATGTTCGAATGACACATACTGTTCGCTACAAAGATGCATTTACAAGATGGCGTAAGTTGGTTTCCGTAGAAAAAGTTGCAACAGCACTGTCTTTGTTGTTGTATCAAGTCCAACACTATAAATATTCCAACAAATTTTGACATTTTTCTGTTTATATTTAGTAGGATACAAACTATTTTCGTGATTACCTTTATGACAGATATGCTTCAAATTCACCCCTCCCACTCTCCGGACCCTCCCGCACCAACTATTAATTTAAATGGGAAATAGAAAAGACACATAATTACGACCCATAAGAGCATGAAAATCTGTCACAAAGTCACAGAGAGAGATCAAAGACTTGGTAATTGGAATATAGCTTCTTGATCAGTGACTCTGTTCCGCTTTAACTCCTTGGCACTACTTACAGCTCATACAACACGTCCTGGCGTCTTAATTAGGATTTTGCTGTCCATCTTTTTTGTCTTAATTAGGATTCTGCTGTCCATCTTATTTGATGTCTTAATTAAGATTCTGCTGTCCATCTTATTTTGCCTTAATTAGGATTCTGCTGTCCATCTTTTTCGTCTTAATTAGGATTCTGCTGTCCATCTTTTTTGTCTTAATTAGGATTCTGCTGTCCATCTTTTTTGTCTTAATTAGGATTCTGCTGTCCATCTTTTTTGTCTTAATTAGGATTCTGCTGTCCATCTTATTTGATGTCAAGAAGGAGCGTAAGCTTCCTTGATGTTAGATTCTGGTTTTCGTCACCAAGACTCCATGAGAACAAATTGTATTGATGATTGGAAGACTACGGTTATGTGAGTGTTCATTATTACCAAATATTATCAAAGGACTGCGTTATTGATTGTTTAGCTAGCATTCACAAACATAAGATTCTTTCATTATAGAACTTATATGTCAGCCACACATATATATATATATATATATATATATATATATATATATATATATATATATATATATATATATATATATTTATATGCCTTAAATCTGCTTGGAGCGCATCCTCTCTCTCTCTCTCTCTCTCTCTCTCTCTCTCTCTCTCTCTCTCTCTCTCTGTGTGACAGAATCTTTGGTGTCATAGGTATTAAATACATCCATTAAAATATCAGCTTCCTTAAAATTGCCGCAAAGACATCTATGCATGAACTAGTTAGGAGTTCCTAAAAACTATGATGACCTCCTTTTATTGTTCGAAAGATTGTCATAACAACACACGTGGGAACCGAGTTGCTTTCCGTTTGACCTTCAACACGAGGAACAAAAAAAATGTGTGCAAACTAGCTGTTTAAAATAAAATACATTAGACTAGTTTTGAAACCACAATTCTTGGCTAATAGATAAAGCATTACATAAGTTAGTACCAACCAACCGTAATATATGAACCAATTCCTTTCTTTTTCGATTCCCTTGACAACTTTGAGTAGTCCTTGGAACCATGTCATGAAAAATTCATAGTCGTCACATACAGCGAATATATTTTATCCGCAAGTGGAGTATACAAAGAGATTAGACATTATCTATTGGGATTTTTAAATACTTTATTGTTTTCTTTTGTTTTCTATTTTCTTGTGTTGCATACTCTGTTTGATGCTTTAGTGGGTGTGCTAATGGTTAAAAAGTTTAGAATTGTGCTATGTATTTTACTAACACTATTTTCAACTTTTTGACCACAGCAGCTAAATAATAATGCAAGTACCTCTACTTCTATCGCTACTAATACACCTCACTACTACTATTACAACTACTACTACTTCTAATGACCGGTCCGGTGGCCTAGTGGTTAGAGCGTCCGCCTCGGGTGTGGGAGTTTGTTGGTTCGATCCCCGGTCAAGTCATACCAAAGACTTACATATATGGTACTAACAGCTGCCTCGCTTGATGGTCAGCATTAAGAGGTTAGTGTCAGGACTGGTCGGCCTGGTGTCAGGATAATGTGACTGGGTGGGACATCATGCTAGATTATTGCAGAATGATTTCCCAGAGCTAGACATCACTATGAACTGTCACCATGCAGTCAGTGTAGCGATATGACTAATATCTTTTTAAAGCTAGGTTAAAATTAATCAAATCACACCACTACTTCTATGATTTTCATGATAAACTATGTATGACAATTCATGCAGTTAATTCAACTTCAGTTTCGTTATGAACCACTCTTTCCAGTCGCCAGTGTATCATTAACAATCTTCTCTTCCTTCAAAATCTAATTTCATATCCCAAGTCTTTAAATGTAATGCCATATGATCAGTACGATCCTCTACTGCCATAACTGCTGTTACTACTACCACTACCACTATTGCTGCTGCTGAAACTTGCACCACTGCTACTACTTGTATAATAGCTACCAATAAGTTGTTTTTAACACTTTGCATAAAACTGTTGAGCACAAATGCAGTATTACTTTAAGACTGAACTAATTTTCGTCTCGTAAACAATGCCCATCATTAGAGATGCATCGTTTGTTGGATGATGTTTAATATCGAATTAAAGTTATGTTGAAATACATCCATAACCACAGTATCAACCCAATAATAAGGAAAGAAGTATTGATCAAGAATCCTGACTAAGCCGTCCTAATAATAGCATATTTGTACTTTTAATTAATTAGGTAAATTAGTTTCTAGCTGTACCTCATAAGGAGACCACCTATTTTTTAATTTTTCATATGCATAAAAGAATAACAAAATGATATTTAGTTGGTGAGTTCATTTTTTAAAAATAATTTTGCTGTTATTTATTTATTTATTTATTTATTAATTTATTTATTTATTTATTTATTTATTTAGTGAGTACTCCTTGCTACATGCTAGCATTTAAACATTATTCATAGTATCTAAAGAAAAGAAAACGAAAATTGGTACCAAATCTGAAAATCCCGATACTGCGTCTAAAATATCTACGCTCTGATCTCAAAGAAGGCATGTAAGCAGTTCGCAATTGAGTGTGTTGTACGACCATGAGGATCGAACAGCTGAGTGTGTGATACGACAGTGATGATCGAACAGCTGAGTGTGTGATACGGCAGTGAGGATCGAACAGCTGAGTGTGTGATACGGCAGTGAGGATCGAACAGCTGAGTGTGTGATACGGCAGTGAGGATCGAACAGCTGAGTGTGTGATACGGCAGTGAGGATCGAACAGCTGAGTGTGTGATATGGCAGTGAGGATCGAACAGCTGAGTGTGTGATACGGCAGTGAGGATCGAACAGCTGAGTGTGTGATACGGCAGTGAGGATCGAACAGCTGAGTGTGTGATACGGCAGTGAGGATCGAACAGCTGAGTGTGTGATACGGCAGTGAGGATCGAACAGCTGGATGTGTGATACGGCAGTGAGGATCGAACAGCTGAGTAGAACGCCATATTAAGCAAGCCAGATTAAATGATAATGTAATAAATGTGTTGTTAAGATTGTTCAGAGAAATAATTTAAGCGAATAAATATTAGACAGCACTGTAAAAAATAATTCGATATTTTTGACAAAAAAGAATTATCCGTGCAATAAGGAAACTATTTGAGGTAGATATTGGAATTAAACATTCAATAATTATATACGTAAGTGATAGTCAAAAGAAAAAGCTGATTTTATATTTTATAATTAACGCCATTCTTTCAATTTTCCTAAGGCAGCAAAACAGTTTCTTTGCGAGCTTTCACTGTCCAAGAACTTTCAAATGGTTTCATTGTAGAAAAAAGGGTTTTTATTCTAGAAATGTATCTAGCATCATTGGAATGTGGGGTGGAATAGACGTTGGTGTTTTCCATCTGAGTATAGTGCCCGCTTTCAAATCTTTGACTACTAAAGGACATACAAAAACTCCAAAACCCACGGCAGACTCTTGTACTAATAGGGTTGGGCATAACCAAAGCCGGTCAACCAATCACTATTACCAGTTAATAAAAATGGCTGACCACCAAGCTAATTTTTGTGATAAGATCGGGAAATTAAATGCGCAGCACTGTAATATCCTATCGCCTTATGTTTGATTTCAAACAGACGACTGACGGCAATTAACAAAGAAAGTAAACATCATGCTGCTCTACCAACAATTCGACCAGCTATTAATGCACACCTGTACCTTTAGCTCAGGTGAAAATGATTTTTTATTGTGTATAATCCTAGTCAGTGTTTCTTTTATCCTGAATTCAGATATACAAGTCAATACACGTGTATCTTTTTTAATTGCAAAAGGTTCGTTAATATCTGCTTTGAGATTTATTTTCTGATGGTACCGGGTCGCATTCCTCATTAATTGAGGAACACAATGTTATTAGTTTAGCGGCCAAAAATAACGATTTTAAGGCTAATCATTATTGTAAGTGCTATGATCTATTTTCAGTGACGACTTTTAAGACAGCTGGACTTCAGAAACTCACCACATTCATAACAATAATGAAAATTTGAAAACTTTGATAAAAACAGCGATAAAATTTATTTTTATAACGGGAAAATAATATAATTGACCGTAAATGACTTATTTAATCCTTGTCTATATCTATTTCACTACCACCTTGTCTGCATGGATGAGTGGGTGAGTGGTTTCTGTTGATGGACATAAATATAACATAAATATAAAGTATATATATATATATATATATATATATATATATAGTTTGAAATCATCCTTCGTCCTTCCTCTGTTGCAGTCAAAGAGGCAAACTTATAAAGCTGAAAGACCATTGAAGAACATCTGGAGACACGGACTATTCGTTCCTAGGAAAGCTGAGCAACAATCTAGAGATACAGACTAGTCGTTCCTAGGTAAGGCCTAACAACAATCTGGAGACACGAACAATTCGGTCATAGGAAAATCTTACGACTACCTGGAGACACGGACTATTCGTTCCTAGGTAAGGCTTAGCAACAATCTGGAGAAACGGACAATTCGGTCCTAGGAAAATCCTACGACTATCTGGAGACACGGACTATTCGTTTCTAGGAAAGGCGTAGCGAATATCTGGATACACAGACAATTAGGTCCTAGGAAAATCCTAACGACTATCTGGAGACACTGACTATTCGTTTCAAGGAAAGGCGTAGCGAATATCTGGATACACAGACAATTCGGTCCTAGGAAAATCCTAACGACTATCTGGAGACACTGACTATTCGTTTCTAGGAAAGGAGTAGCGAATATCTGGATACACAGACAATTCGGTCCTAGGAAAATCCTAACGACTATCTGGAGACACTGACTATTCGTTTCTAGGAAAGGCGTAGCGAATATCTGGGTACACAGACAATTCGGTCCTAGGAAAAGCCTAATGACTATCTGGAGACACTGACTATTCGTTCCTAGGAAAGGCGTAGCGAATATCTGGATACACAGACAATTCGGTCCTAGGAAAAGCCTAATGACTATCTGGAGCCTAAAAGGAAGACCTTAATATTAGTGTTTCATAATAAGAAAGGTTCACTGTCACAATGTAAAATAAACATAGAAAACTGCCATGGCAGGAAAGAAACATGCAGCATTCGAAGAGGAGGAGAGACTCAACTCGGTGACTACTCTTCGTCACTCTAGGATGTTCAAGCCCCAGGCCCACAATCCGCCGCCATCCGACCTGCACTTCCTCAGCTACTAACATATTGCAGAAGGCAACTTGAGAACCGTGAGATTCAAGTTGACAGCTTATAACTGCAGTACGCAGATGCTGCATCGAATCAAGACACAGCAGGTCAGCAAAGTGAAGATGAAGAGAAAGATATTGAAGAAGATGAAGAAAGGACAACGACTTTGGATGTGGGACTGGTATCGGCAATGGAGAATATCAAGAAAGTCAGATATTTGCTTAACATATATTGCCAATAAAGGGGTCTCCATTATATAAAAAAAATTTAGGGTTACTAGTCAATGCCTTATGCTTAAATGGTTCTCAATTACATAAGAAAATCTTTTTAGGGTTACTAGTCAATGCCTTATGCTTAAATGGTTCTCCATTACACAAGAAAACCTTTTAACGTTACTAGTCAATGCCTTATGCTTAAATGGTTCTCCATTACATACAAAAAAAACCTTTTAGGGTTACTAGTCGATGCCTTATGCTTAAATGGTTCTCCATTACATAAGAAAACCTTTTTAGGGTTACTAGTCAATACCTTATGCTTAAATGATTCTCCATTACATAAAAAAACTTTTAGGGTTACAAGTCAATGCCTTATGCTTAAATGGTTCTCCATTATACAAAAAAAATTTTATGGTTACTAGTCAATGCCTTATGCTTAAATTGTTCTCCATTATATACAAAATCATTTAGGGTTACTATTCAATGCCTTATGCTTATAAAAAAAAAACCTTTTAGGGTTACTAGTCAATGCCTTATGCTTAAATGGTTCTCTAGTATATAAAACAAAACTTTTTAGGGTTACTTGTCAATGACTTATGCTTAAATGGTTCTCAATTATTATTTAAAAAAACCTTTTTAGGGTTACTACTCAATGCCTTATGCTTAAATGGTTCTCCGTTATATAAAAAAAACTTTTTAGGGTTACTAGTCAATGCCTTATGCTTAAATGGTTCTCCATTATATAAAAAAACCTTTTAGAGTTACTAGTCAATGCCTTATGCCTAAATGGTTCTCCATTACATAAAAAAAAACTTTTTTAGCATTACTAGTCAATGCCTTATGCAAAAATGGTTCTCCATTATATAAAAAAAAAACTTTTTAGGGTTACTAGTCAATGCCTTATTCTTAAAGGGTTCTCCATTACATAAATTTTTTTTTAGGGTTACTAGTCAATGCCTTATGCTTAAATGGTTCACCTTTACATAAGAAAACCTTTTTATGGTTACTAGTCAATGCCTCATGCTTAAATGGTTCTCCATTACATAAAAA